AATTTAGTACCATGAAAACAAATGAGGCGTATTAAAATTAAATCAAAGTCAAGAAGCTGAAAATAGAACCCAGTTTGCCACAGCACATAAAAGCTTTTACAAATGTTGATGTGTGCAGGCAGGTTGGTGCCTCCAAATAGAGAAAAGGCACTGCTTGCATGTATCCCGCTGTTTCTTCTCTCAGAGAACACTCAGCTGTTCACATCTTTCTGAATGTCACTGAAGCCAGCCAGACTGTTCTGGCCAAAGGTTTATCAATAGAATCTTGACATTCTGAGCGGGTGTAACTACGTCCTGCCTGCACAGGTGAGTTATGCTGTTATTCATGTTTGCCAGCTGGAGAAGCTGACAGACCTGCCAGTGAGAACTCAGACAATATATACTCCATGAAGTTCATTTTGAAATCCTTATTCAGTCTTCTGAAATTAATTGTTATGTGCATTTCTTTTGTCTGATTCATTTCTTCTGGTTTATGAGGTGAGATACCAGCAGTAAAACCAAGGTGCATGGCTTGCTGCCATGCCATGTGGGGTCCTGCTTGTTTTAAGTGTCTTACGTGGGAGGCAGCAATAGCTAAGGCACTCAACCAGGAGAACATACTAACCATACGAGTGTAGTTTTAAGATTAGTAAAATGTTGGGGCCTTCTCTGTGCTTAATCTCTGCTCCCCAGAGCCTGGGAGAAGACTGAGGTGCTGGGAAGGACATCAAACTGGATTTCCCCTTTTGTTTCCAAGGCACTTTTCTTTGTGTCCCCAGCTGAGATTGTCATGGCAGTTTCTCCTTAAACTGTCAATTAACGTTTTGTCTGCATCAGTGCCCTGGAGATGTTGGTTTAGTTTAACTGTAAGCTGTTCCTGCACACTGAGCTTACCTCTGCAACCCTGCTGCAAACTGAACATTAATGCTTGTTGTAATATGTGAATATACATTTACAGAAGTGCTGTATATGTTGTTCCAAAATACTGCCAAGTTAAAGTTTGAGAACTTTGCCTCTAAGGGCCAGCCAATATTAGTTCACCTGTTACTTTTCATTAGTTTGCTAAGAATGTTTCCTGGGTTCAGGGGGCCAAAGGACATGTGGGCAAATAAAGGAAAACTCCAATCTCCTGACTTGCAAGAAATTGACAAGCATAAATTAAGCTTCTTGTGCATATTCTTAACAAAGCTTGAACTCTCAGATCAGAGAAATGTGTCCACTGATTATTTAAAATTCTACTTTTTTTTGTAGACTTCCTTTGTTGTTGATGAAGTCAGTGCCATCATTAAAGAGGTAAATTAACACTTTAATTTTGTTGGTGTGAAAGTAGAGTATATCATATGCTGTGTTCTAAAAGGCATTCGAGAAAATGTGATAACTGAGATGTGATAGATTTCTAGCTAGGTTGCTATCAAAGTATAATTGCTGATTTAACCAGCGTACATACGTTAAGTGGGATACCTGGCTTTAGTTGTGATATACATTGCAAATCCAGATGATAGCTAAAGTAATTTCATATGCTTCTCTCTCATTGCAGCGTATCCTTATTGGATTTTTTTTTAGGTTAAACCCCATAGAAATAGATTTTATGTTTCAGTAACGTACAGGGCTTTTTTCTAGGCTGTCTGTATGTGCATGTAACTGTGTGTGAGTTGCCTTTCCTCCAAAATGAGTTCTTGTTTGTTTGGGATTTTAAACTGTTCTTGTTGCTAAGAAACATGAATTTCCTGTCTAGAAAAATTCCAGAGGGATTTGGGGTGGGGTTCTTAATGTCCAGAATTCCTCTTGTAGACTAAACTAGTGGAGTCTTTTTCTCATTGCAAAACAGCCATTTTGGTCACTCTGTAAATTGAATGCACATGCTTCAGTGCATGCTTGTGTCTGTTCTGAATATGAAATGATTTTGTGGCTATTTTTTTAAAACAATTTCTGTGAGGAAGAAATGTGTCAATGAAACCATGCAGCTTTAATGTACTTACCTGTATCTTAAAGGGGAAACTATCCTTGTAAGCAAAATGGTCTGTTTGGCTGAAGGCTACTGCTCTCTTAGTAACCCGCAACCACGAGTCTTTTGTTTCAATTTGGGGTTTTGTTTCCCAAAAATGGTTCTGCTGACAAATCTGAATATCATTTTCGTAGAGGAATATGTATGAATGAGCTGGGGTTAAATTTTTGTAATAATTGAAAACACTTCCAACGATCGGTATGAACAAGCAGGATTTAGGAATTTTTCTGTGGCTATGGGGAACAGGCTAATGGGTGCCTTGTGAAGCTTATTGTGTGTACTTGTTGCCAATAGGCCATAGAAAGTGCAATAGGTGGCAATACTTACCAGCACAGCAAGGTGAACCAGTGGACAACCAGTGTGGTAGAGCAAACGCTGAGCCAACTCACAAAGCTGGGGAAGCCTTTCAAGTATATTGGTGAGCTGTTTTCTCTTTGCTGTTAAAGCTGATATAGACAAGTGTGCTGATGGGTGGGGCTGGGGGAGGATCTTGGCAAGAACCGTGTCTGTAAACTACTCATAAGCATGGGTGTATGTGCTATGCTAAGCAAAAATTGAACTAAATGTTAATTGATGTCAGTGATAGATTAATAAAAGCTTCTCTACTAACAGTGACCTGTGTGATTATGCAAAAAAATGGTGCTGGGCTACATACAGCAAGCTCTTGCTTCTGGGACAACTCCAGTGATGGTAAGAAACACAACTGTTGGACTTTTCAGCTCATCCCCTTAAGCTAAGCAACATACTTTTGTGTTTTCCTGAGTGCTGTAGTTCTGGAGTAATAGCAAATACATTGGTGCGTTTTCTGTGTGGGTGTGGTGCCAGCTCTGCTACATATGAACTGTTTAGCTGTTGTGAAAGCTTCATGCTTAAGGTTCTAAATGTAAATTACAAACCTGCACATAAGGGTGTGCATGTAATCACTGTTACACTCTTCTGTTTCTGAAACCCTTTTTTTGTATTTGTAGGGACCTGCACTGTGAGATGGGAGAATAAGACTGTGTACTGTATTGTCAGTGCCTTTGGACTTGCAATCTGATTGCCTTGGAATCTATTCACTCTTTTCTACTCCAGCACCTAAGTCCACCTCTACTCAAACTGTGAATACACTGAACAACTTCTGGTTTTAATGTACTTTTTTAGTAACTTTTTTTCAAAAGTAGAAGCGTAAAAACATGCTGTTACATGGTTTATGTTTGTTCTTAGTATTGTAGCAGTGTTGCCACACTGTCTTAACACTTCAAGAACTTCTCTTCAAGGTGCTAGTACTGAAATCTGCTGCAGTGCACACACTTTCTCTAGATTTCTTTTTTAAGACCAATCTAAATGAGACACTGATTTTCATACTTTGTACTTTTGGTTAGCATTAAATTATTGAAATTCATAACCACTGGTGTGATTCATTTAAACTTAACTCTTGATATTTAAAAAGTTCCAAATCTTTCTCTTCAAGCTAGCTGAGGTACATACCAGAATGCAAAGCACTTCCGTAGTTTTGCCCAAGTTGTAGAATCATAGAATACTTAGGGTTGGAAAGGACCTTAAGATCATCAAGTTCCAACCCCCCTGCCATGGGCAGGGACACCTCACACTAAACCATATCACCCAAGGCCTCGTCCAACCTGGTCTTGAACACTGCCAGGGATGGAGCATTCACAACCTCGCTGGGCAACCCATTCAACTGCCTCACCACCCTAATAGGAAAGAATTTCCTGCTTATGTCCAATCTAATCTTCCCCTGTTTAAGTTTGAACCCCGTTAACCCTTGTCCTGTCACTACGGTCCCTAATGAATAGTCCCTACAAAATTGCAAGAAAATTAGATGATGTTTATTAGAAAGTAACTTGTCTGCATTTCTGGTACCTCTTTAATCTGATTGTGTGGTTTTGAAGGCATGGAATGATAACAGAAATAACTGTCTTCAGCGAAAAAGGGCAGATAAGGTTTTCACATTCTAGGAGTGCTCAGCAAGCTGTACATGGGTAACCATTCACTCCCACAGCCAGTTATGCATGTTGAGTAGGTCTTGAACTTCCCTGTTATCCTCTGTGTTGGTTTTGGTGATGGTTTGTGATGAGCTCTGATAGTTGGTAAAACATGAACCTTTCCGACAGGGGAAAAACCAGCCTCGGGCACATGACTAAATAACATGTGAATAAGCCTCCTGCATTCTAGAGTAAAGCTGCAGAGAGGAACATGTAAGACTTGTTTTCAGCATAGGCTTTGGGTAAGTTTTTGTCAGCTAATTGAAGAAATGGGCGCATGCTATAAATTTCAGACTACCCCTATGAAGTGCTGTGCTGCTGCTGAAGTTGAAAGAATTACAAAGCCAGCGGGGTAGAGGATTCCAGGCTGGAGGCAGTGTGAGTGACCTGCATTTGCTTATGTTTAGGAAAATATTAAAACAAAGATTGAATACAGTGCCTGAAACTAGTCATCAGGGTGAGAGAGAAACTTGTTATAAAAAGATCTTTAATCTCTGAATTGCTAAGGACATTCGTATTTGATCTGGATAGTTAGATACTTTATCTCCTTTCCATCAGCATTCCAGAAGGCGGCTGTTGCGAAGCACCTCTTCAGCGTCTTGTTTACTTTTAGAAGAAATAGTTTTGTGCACTTTGAGTCACTGTTTACTTTTAGAAACACTTCACTTCTTGGTCAAGCTATTCAGACATTCCTTGTCCTTTGCTCATGCCAATAATAGCAAAGCCCTTGATTTTTTATTTTTTTTTTTTCTTTTTGCTGTTTGTTGGTTCATGAAGGTGCTAAAGTGCAGACAAAAATGTTTGGGATGTTTATCAGTGTAAGTAAGTGCTGTATGGGAGGAAAAAACAGTAACGTTAAGTTTTACTCCAGAGGTAGATACTGGTTAATCTGTACTGCCACAGCCTCCTGAATCTCATCCTTATGCAATTAACCAAGTTTAAATATGCATAAGAAGATACATGTAAACTGCAAATAATAGATGTAAGTTATGAAAATGGTGCTAGAAGGAAAATAGAACTAAGCTACAATATAAAGATATAAAACTTTATTATGAACATATTTAACAATGATTATGCACATGAAGTTGTCCAAGAAACTCAATACCCAACTTTTGCTTAAAGTGTTATTTTCTCCTTCATATTCCATATTAGCATGAAGTTTTCCAACATAACTGGATAATTTGCTGTCATTAACACATCTTCTAGATACACAGGATATTCAACATGTGTCCTCATGCACACTGTCTCAAAGCAGCATTTAATTACAGCTTCTCATTAAACAGAGCATTTATCTTACACATTTTGATACCATTTTGGTACACAATTTTTCCATATTTTCATTTTACGCATTTACAAACTTCTCAAAAAAGTCTTACAGTAATGCAAAGGTTGTTATTACTGGCATTAGCAAATGGAAACAGGGAAGAGTTGGGTGGCTGTAGATACCAAGTTGTCTTTTGGCTGGGAGAAAGACAACAGACAGAAGCTTTCCATAGCTGGGCCACCCCAGCATGAGTGCCATGGGCCCTGCTGCAGTCCCTGCTTCTCACTGGGGTTACACCTCTTTGCCAGGACTGGGGAAGTTTCCCACCCTTTCCAACACCAGCAATTTTTAAAGCAAATGCTACTGAAAATGGCTGCCACAAATGGCTTGCACTCAATGGTTACTGGTGTCTGAAACATCCCTCTTGCCACTGTGTTCATGGAAGTCTTGCAGTTACTTAAGAGATGGCACCTCCTTCAGAGGATGAACACCATGTGCTGTGGGGCCTGTTTGTGTAGCTGTCTCATTTTATACAGCTTCACTACTGATGGAAATAATTACTTCAACAGTAATGAAAGGACAGCCAGGCTTGTTTCTTAGCCAGATATCTTTTGTTTCACCCTTAAGTTACAATACTTAGAGGTGAATTTATGCCATCTATTCCCAAGCTGTTTACAGTCCCTGTTGTAATATGCCTCAAATGCTGTCTCTGCTTTCCAGCTGTGAAAATAAGAAGGGTGAAACTGAGATTTCTTACTGGCAAAACTACTTCCTCACTTGCTTCACAACTCTTGCCTTTACTGTACATTGAATTTGATGTGACAGTACTTCATTCAACCAAGCTTACAGCTACACACTAGCAATTTCCCAAATACAAAGATATTTTGCATGGCAAACACTGCTTAAATATAATCTCTGAAAACTAACAAGGAAACTATTTTCTCACTGTTTTCATAGTGAGATCCTTAAGTACACATTTCCCATTCTCAACTTTCCTATTTCCACTTCGAATGTAGTGATGTAGAAAAGTTAATGCAAACAACACAGCAAGTGAAATGGAAAACATCTTAGGAAAAAATCATCATCTCAAAAGTTAGATTAAAAATAGCTTCTTTAGTTAATGAAATCCCAGAGCATGACACTCTATTTCAGGGTTAACTGTAACCATCAGTGCAGACTGTGATAAGAAATAGGAATACACTTGCACATTGGTCAAATCAAAAGTTTTGATCTCTTCAGAACAATTTAGAACAGAATTAAGAAATATCAGAGCCAAACAGATGGAATATGTAAGGATCATGTAAATATCAGTGTTTGAAGACCCACTTCCTGTACTCACTCCAAATGGAAGTCAAAAGGACTTGGGGTATGTGAGGGATGCCGAGGTGGCTTCCAAGTCTGACTCTGCACATCCAAACAGCTGTGAGTCTCAGGAGAGGTGGCTGGGGAATAGTAAGAGTGAGAATGGGCCCTCTGATTTTAGGATACAAAGATCATCTCCCATACTTGTTAAAAAACAAGCCTAAGAGGAAGCACTGAGGGTAGAGCTGACTATGAACACTGGAGAAACAAAACACCACTAACTTGAATACTTCTTTAGTGTTTTCCTATGTTCTTCTACTAAACTGACACCAATTCATTTAAAAATCAAAGGGAAAACCTTTCCCTTCCTCCACAGCATTTTCCTTGCTTTAGCCATACAATAGTGCTTTGGCTTCTAACACGTAAGTGATCCCTGGTTTTAAATTTCAAATACCCTCAAAAAATTTCACAGCTCTACCTATTTTATGCAGTTCTCTCTCACAAACACACGCAGTATCTTACTACAATTACCTTTAGCAGAGCACCAATTTAATGTGAACTATTCTATGATAGCAAGGGTGCAACCATATGAGGCAGTTCCTTTGGTCCTTTCTAAGCAAACTGCTTGGAACTGTCCTGTGAAGTCTCCCCTTCACAATTCTGAACAGCTGCCAGGAGGTTCCTGCAGTGGGAATGGTCTACAACAGTTGTTGCATCAAAGCAGAACAAACCTTATTTTTCCCCAGTCTAATCCAGCAAGTCTAATAGGACTTCAATCTCCTGTTTAAACTACTTCAGTGAGGAGCACAATTTCCTAGTGTAAGCCAGCACCATTTTTTGTTGAACACCTTACGGTGCTTTAGAGTCTTCTGCAGCAGCAGGGTAGAGAAATTTTACAAGAGTAAATCACAGTTACAAATTCATGGAAAAGAAAGATACCTGTACTCAAGTACCTGAAAACAAAAGTATTTAGAGACAAACAGCATCCACTTAAATAATGAACCGAACAATGGTGTAGGAGAAAACCAACTTTCAAACAGAGAAGCAGCATTGTACTAGGAATACTTAATTCCCATCTAACTTTGTTCCAGGACAGACTACAATACAGATAATCTCAAAACGTGCTAGTTCTGGCCAGTATAGGTGGTGACTGTGGCATGACAGAGAAGTTGAACTGCACAGAACGTACTCAAAAGCCAACTTTGATGCACATTCATGAGCAACCACGATTGTTCCTGGGATGTAGATTAACTGTCTCCTAATACATCTTAAGGAAAAATCCTGATGTAGAAAAAGCCTCTAGAAATGAAATGTTTGGAATTTGCAAATTTTAATTCACTATGAAGCTTTCATACTGTATTTTCTGTAAGTGTAACAATCACCCTCAGCATACAAAAATCCACTGGCTTCCTTCTGGGATTTGTTGCTAAGTAATTCCATTTGAACAGGCTGGTGAGAAAAGCAAAACAAAACCCAAAACAGACAGTTCTGTTGTGGCAGCAAAACATGATATAAAACATATATTAGGCAAATAATTTTGCACCACTGAGGCTATTTGGCTCACTCGAAGTTGACTATTTGCACATACCTAGCACTTAAAAGTCTGGTAAACTCATTTCAATGAATTACAAAAATGGTCTTAAGTCTGTATCACTTTGAAGAATGGAAAGCGTGTGTTTTCTTGCACCAAACAACAAAAAAAACAGAAGAGAGAAAGCCCGAAGACACTTCATTCCCCGCCTCCAGCTCAAAAGACTAAGGTAGGCAATCGGAAGCAAAACGAGGCACGTACGTGGACAATATACAAAGGAGCCAACACAAAAGCAACAGAGCAATGACAGTATGCTGTGCATAACCCTCAAACCAAACCAACCCAAAAAACTAAGCAGCAAGGAAGCAATTTTAAAATCAGGATATAATCAGTGATACTTGTGAATGGAAATAGACTTAAAGACTAGTCCACAGGCATCCTGCTATCAGGCATTTTATAAGACAGGTAAAACTCTTGATTTCTGAAGTTTTCACCACAACCTTTTCAAGCATTCTTTTTCTTCAGTTTAAACTTTGTAAACAGAAACAGAAGCAGGATGTCCTTCCTGGGAGTCACTGTTCAGACTGACAGCGGACTGCAAGGAAGCTAAGAAGTTGTCTAGGAAAACTTCAAAATTGGTTTAATTTCAGCTGAACAAGTCTGTCTATGTCAGAATCAGTCAATTGCTGTCCGACTCCTCTTTATATTTGGCTCTAATAGCTTGGCCGTTCTGAAGCAGCATTTCTTCATAGTCACTCCTGTGAAAGAGATACTTGTGAAAACTTCTGAACACAGTGTTTAGATGGGAAGTCCAAAATAAACAGGAAAATTATAAACCACATTGAAGCATTAAATTGTTATTAGGTTAAGAATCTGGTATCTTTCTTCCTTCCCTGTTGGAAGTATGAACAATATATATGACTTTTCCTTAGAGGATGATGCATATTAGAAGTTATTCCAGCAATTACAAGCCACTTTTCATAAGGATCCACATAGAATCAAGCTGATACTACCACTACTCATCAATCTAAACAAAAGCAAGCTAGCTCAGACAAACATACAGCTAGTCTAACACAAATTTGCTCAGTTCACCCTAGTATTAATCCCATCACTGTTTCGGCCACAGTCAGTGTCTTTGGTAAAAGGTGAACGTATCAAGGGCAGCTAATACATTTGTTCAGTGTCCAACACAGACACACCTGACAGGGGTGGGTTTTAAGTACTACTATAATTCTCTTATTACAGAAACTCACACAAGTCTGGGACTTTTTGTTAGATTTGATTATTCTTATTTCAGTCAGTGATGGACTTAAGAAGAGCCTTTCTGCTTCCGTGAAGTATTTACACACGAGCTGCTCCTTTGTCAGCTCCACCCAACTTCCTTCTTGGTTTCAGAGGAAGCCCTTTCCTTTCACAGCTCTTGGTGCTTTCACCCCATGACCTACCAGCACCCTACAGGTGCTTTCTTACCTGTTTGTATCAGTGTCATAGCAATCCCTTTTAGAAACCAAAAAAAAGACAAGACAACATGCACTCTCGTTGCATTTCTATTTCAGAATAAGACTGTTACTCTGTTCAGAATACTTTCACTAACAACCTACAAATTCTTCACCTATTTAATGAACATGGAAAAGAACATTATGAAAATAACACACCTAAAGTAACTCCCCATAGGTATTTTATAATCTTACCCATAAATCACATCATCATCTGAATCATTCAGCATAGAAAAAGCAGGATTGTCTTTCAACTGTGATTCTGGAAAATATAAATAGGAGTTAATACATTAAATACATAAATGTGGCTGTACTTCTAACTCGGTGCTGTAGCAACAGATTTGACAATTCCCAAGGCAGTCACGACTACAGTTCAACAAAACTATACCCAAACAGGAATTCTCTCCATTAAATTCTTCACCCTTCATCCACAACATCATGGTATTCTTAAGAGATAATGTAACAACCTCATTTTTAGATAGATACTCTCCATGTGGTATAAGTGGATTTCCTCACTTGTGCAGGTTCCTATGTCATATTATGTCAACCTGCACATAAGAGTAATTAAGTCAGATTTCATTATTATTACTCATTATTGAAAAGCACAGACTTGACTTCTTGGTTATTTCTAAGCTACAAATACCGTACACCAAGGCTGGAATCCCCTGTATGCAAGTCAATGATTAGCTAGTTATTTTTCACCCTTGTAATAGGTAAAAGAAGGACTTGTACCTTTATGGTGAGATGAAAGGAAACACATAACTTTTCATTGGTTATTTATGACAATTTCCTCTAAGGCCTTTATTTCTTAAATAATCTGTGCTGCTTAGCTGCAGTGCATAATTATATGCAAATAAAATTCAATCCAGCAACTTGCCATAAACATCTTTTTCCTGGCACTACCTTCTGCCGTCTATAAACTAGTATTTCTTGTGACCCAACAGCAAGTTTAACTTTATTCTCACTCAGACATTTCTTGTCTTCTTAATGTGAAAATAACATTTCCATAACAGTTCTACCTATATCAACTCTAAAATGTTCAGAGAAAGGACCAGCTCCATTGCAGCCTTCCCCCTGCATACCTGTCAGCACACAGGATGTTCCTGGGCAGGGTGATAGATAATCTCATCTAGGCTGCCTTTCCCATGAAAGTTTGGACCAGGTGATCTTCCCAGGTCCCTTCCAACCTGGGCTGTTCTATGTTTATGTATTTTAAACTCAGTGTTTAAAGTGGAGAGTGACTCGGTGCAAGTATTTACCGTATATATCTTTCAGTTAGAAAGCGATGATGTTTTATAAGCACCATGTTACATCCTCTACATAGGAATAATAATAAAAAAAAAAGTGCCACTGATTTGGTGGGCCCCGTGCAGCCCAACTGTGTTCCCCAAAATTCCTCCCATGTTGGAGATCAGCTTCATCCTCCTTTTCCAACATCATGTTACCTGTTTCAGAGTCCAGTTTGTCAGCATGACCATATGTTAACCTTTCTTAGAACAAAGTATAAATGAAGTATTGTCTCTAAGTCAGTGCAGAAGTTGGTGCATCACATGCAAACATCATATTGACTATGAGCTTGATCCAAGTACATAAGAATTCAAGTTTAGCAAATCAGTTGCATACATTTTATGTGTTCCATCATATTTCCAATGCTGCACTGCTCCTGAGCAAATTAATTTCTGCTTCAGTTAACTTTTCAAATACAAACAGTATTCAAACTTTGTAAATTCAAATAGTAACACGACAGCCAAAATATGAAGGCATTACACAGTATCTGCTAATACGCCAGCTCATCATCTAAGCTTGCCAGACAATTGCTTACACTTACCATACAATTGCTTACACTTACCATACAGTGCATTCTTTGAGGGGGAATACACGAAGGCTAATGTGTAGAGATAAAAATTCAATAAACCATAAAAAGATAAGAATTCTGCTGGTATTAAGTGTCAAGGATATTGCTCAATATAGCTCCATACATATTAACTTTAGAAACAAGACCCAAACCGTACATAAGCTGCCTCAATGGAAAGGAAGTTTACCTTACTAAAGTTTGAGAGCAAGAATGGCTAAACAAACCTGCATGTTTTAAATTCAATGCCCACTAATGCATTCAAGCCATTTCGAGGTAAAGCTCCCGCTTGAAGACAAAGCTTTAACACAAGCAACTTTTGCTGAGGTTAGGTCTACTCTTGAGAGGTGCAGCATATAATTCTGCCTTGGGTGCCTTACGAAAGCTGAGCAAGAAGGCTTCTTGCCTTCATTTTTGGTAAAATGCTAAAGGCTTTACATACTGTTTTATACTAGCTCCCATCACATATCTATGTTTATCAGTAAGGGTACTTGCAGTTACACAGGCAATTTTAGAGAGTAGAATGAACCGGGACCTCATGGTTCAGGTCCAGAAATACAATTTGTAATCCTCCTGCCAACAGACATCAGAAATAGTCTCTCTCAAGTCACAGTTCTCTGCCATGACCTCTTCCACAGCTAGACTGGGACCAATACACAAATGCATTTTCAGTGACTTCTAAACTGTTAATTTCTCAAATACTTCGGTACACCCCATGCCAACTGACAGGTACAGAGCAAGCTAAGTTCATACAGCAAATACAGCCAAATTTGTTGGCAGTAACTTTAATATTATGTTAAAATAATGTAATGTAATGTTAAAATTATTTGAATGCTTGCATATCTAGGCTTGCATTTCTTTCAAGAGTATTAAATGCAGTTCTGATTTATGTGATATAAACAAATTAGACTGAAACTGTCTCAACTCATAATCTTTACAAAGAGCCGTTACAAAATGCTGACATGAAACCTTGATCAAAATTAACTGAACTTCAAAAGCTCCCCTAAAAGTCAAAGATCTCAGTCCTTAGGTACATCATTTTAAAGTACATTCTACATGAAAAGAGATTAATATTCCTACTTGAGCAGTATCACAACACAAGGATATAATTCTGGTAATGAGTTGACAGCTCAGCAACAAAGTTGTCCTGTAGAACTTGTGCTCCAAAGCGCAGGTACAGTATAACAATGCTGTGGAAAAAAGTTAAAGCATACAGGTGTACTGTGCCTTTAAACTGCAAGGCTGAAATAGTAGCTTGATGGAAGAGTATATGAGAGAATAATTATGTTAATATGCTGTTTATTCTAGGACATGTTTGCTTTCATAGTTCGAAATTAAGAATGATTCTTTTGTGATTAGAAGTCAGCAGTCAATTGAGCAAAGTGGAGAAAAAAATTCCCATGGTCTATTTCCCTCAGATTTCATCTGCTACAGACAATCCAAGAATCAACAGAAATTTGAACAAACTGCTTAACAATAATCTAAGCAACCGATTCTAAACTCCTTCTTTGACTAAGTGAAACTCAAGAGAGCTCCAAAAGAGATGAAGGGTGCACTGCAGACCACTCAGCAGTACAGAAAACATCTCTGCTAAATCTTGCAGTGGTAATAGAGATAATGTAAAGTTAGCTCTAAAAGGGTCAAGAAGCATTAAAAAAATGAGAAATGCTTGCCGTAACAATCAGATCAAAAGACATTCCCCAGTTTCACTGACAATTTTATCAAGAAAATGCATTCAAAGCCCTAAAAAAAAAAAAAAGGGTAATAAAGGTTACAGTACTGAGAAATATACTTTGAAAAGCCTTACCTAATGACAAGCACTACAAAGGTTAATGCAGTCAAGAATTTTAACCTGAGATCTGAAAAAGATTGAGAAAAGTTGTTATTAGTAAATTTATGCCTCCATCCAAGACAAACAAGTCTGTCTGGGGAAGGATCAAAAGAAACACTCCTTACCAACATAAGGCATGTTATGAAGTTCTGAGCATGCCCTCACTATCAGGAACAGAAGGTAGAGAACGTATGTGGTTGCTACCACAAGGAAGAAGATTTTCATTCCCTGTAAGAAGAGTGCTAGTTTTTATTATTTAACAAGATATGATCTATTCCTTCTTCCCTCAACAGTAATCATTATTTCCCAAAGCACAACATACAATGCTCTGTTTATTCAGGGAAAGTAGGCTTACAAATTAAAATAAGGATGGCTATACATTGAGGCAGGTTTTCGGGGAATGTAAAGAAAGGATGTTTAATAGAAGTCATCATTTTGTTCACTGAGTTCGCAGTGAGCTGAATCTCAATGAGTTTTTAAAAGCACAGCTCCTGAGAACAGTACAATGACCCGTATAAATCAGATCTTCCTTTACAAGAAGAAAGTCTGAAATTTACTAGGACAGAGGATATTGGCAGGAGCAAAGATGTACAAAATGGACTTAATAAGAGGCTAAAAAATTTCTTTAAATCACAACAGTCATGAGCCTGCACTAAACTTGTGGTGTTGAGTCTCCAGATTTGCAAGACAATTTACTCTTTCCACTGGGATGGAGCTCCATATGGCCTAAGCACTATCTAAAGCAAAACTGGAAGTATCCTAGTCAGTATAACACCATCTGACCAGCATTTGCTATTTTCTCAATTGTGTTATAGATTTTAATAGAAGGACAAACCATACTTCCTTGCACTGCTTAACTCCACCTGACAAGTTAATAGGAACAAAACATTTCTGACTTACCTGGAAATTACCTGTGTCAACTCTGTACTGATATGTAGGATCATGTACTTCATTAACACTAGAAAGTTTCAAAATGAGAAAGTGATACTTACACTATTACAAAAGACAAGGTCAAAAAGCTATACTGACCAAGAAACCCACTAACAAAGGAAAGGTTTAAAGTTACTATACAGAGTTTATAACTGAGGGGTTTTGCTGTAGAAAGGGGTGCAATGCCATTGATTCCAATGGAGTCATGACAATTTACAGTACAAAACATCATCTTTCCCAAACCCAGTTTTAAAGGAATATGGAGGATTTCAGTTGTAAGCATGTCTAATCTCCCCACTTACTTTTTAGAAAATTTATAACCTTGCCAATTCCTACAAGCCTTCAGGATTTAGTGTTTAATTTTTAGCCTGGTGATATGAATTATACTTAAGAAATAACTGTGGTATAAGCCCTTCCCTTACAGCAATTCTAATGATAGGTCACTAGCATGAGCACTGCCTACAACTGCACTATTTTCAATAGTGTACAGCTGCATGGAAAAGGTTAGAAGGTATGTTTCTTTCTGAGACATAAGAGGCAAACACTGGAGACTAAAGAGCTTTAGAACTTACAAATGTACCAAAACTGAGAAAGTTTTCTGGCTGGGGAAACCTGTATGTTAACATATTGTTAACAAATTGGGTAAAAAGAAAGAAACACCTAACCAAACACAAGACCTGAGTTTTGAGGAGCAGTAGCATAGCCTGACTAAGCAGTGTCAGTAGAATTGTGCAGGTTTAGTGGTTGAGCAAGTTTGGTCAAACTGTGTAAGTTAACTACAGAGAAACTGTTCCTTCGAACGCTAAAAGCTAATTAGGACATAGCACTAGAGGCAGTATTGTAGCGGGGTCACAACATAACGTCACAGTAGCAATTTCTAGATCTCACGCTGATTTATAAAATCAGGTACTGCTAGATTGTCAATGAGAAATACTGTTCAAACCAGTCACAATTTGCAAAACAAAAATGTAAAAATTTGAACACTATTCCAACATCATAATTGGAGCATTAAGAAACAGATACTAATTACAAACAATCTGCTCATTCTTGAACACTTTCAGCTCATTCCTTTTGCACTAAAGTTTAAATTACTTACGTTTGCCATATTCCCAAGGTAACAGAAGCCAGCCACAATAGTCCAACAATAAAGAATTTGGGCAGATAGAAAGTTAAGCATTTCCTTTCCCCCTGTTGAGTAAACAGCAGTGTGGTGAAGGAGTGAACACACATTTGAGATTACATTAATTCTTGACAGAATAAAGTAACTATCATCTTTGTTTCATTCAACATGAACTAGTTTAAGAGACTCATTTCACCTGCACAGGTGACTACAGAAGACATAAAATTGTATCATCATTTGTGAAAATAAGATGCTGCAAATTTGGAGCATCCTATTTATAAGGTCCCATGTATTTCACTGAAACTGCAATATGGGAATATGCTCCAAAATTCATATTTATCTTATGCAGTAAAGTGGTTTAAACTAAACAATCAACTATCATATTGTCGTGGTTTAAACCCAGTCAGGTAACTTGTTCACTCACTCCCAGTGAGTGGTGCCGAGCTGACAACAATCGAGGTCCATGTCCCGACCCCCACCGGGGTTCTCTCCCCACTCCCGGAGGAACGGGGAGGAGGATCGAAAAAGTGCAACTCCCACGGGTTGAGACAAGAACAGTCCAGCAACCAATGTACAACACAAATCACCACCGCTACCACCAACTGCAACAATGATAAGGGAAAATAACAAGGGAAGAGAATACGATACCACCGGCCAAGAAAACGAGTTCCACCCGGAAGCCCGTGTCCTTCCGGGTAACTCCCAGTTACCCCCCACCCCGGGCATGACGTGCTGTGGTATGGAATACCTCCCCGGCTAGCCCGGGTCAGGCGCCCCGTCTCTGCTTCCTCCCGGCTTCCCCTCCTCCCTGGCAGAGCATGAGCCTCACAAAGTCCTTGCTCAGGGTAAACATCACTTAGCAACAACCGAAAACATCGACTTCACCAACACTGTTCTCAGGCTGGAAGTCAAAACACAGCACTGCACCAGCTACCACAAAGGAAAAAACATGACTGCTACTGCTGAACCCAGGACACATATACAACAACAAAACCCTTCCAGCAAGAACAAAGCATAATGGCATCATAATTTTGAAGACTGTCTTGCAAATGTTTAGAGTGGACTATACCATCTATCTCATTTAGGCATGGTAGCCCCACAAGCCACTTCACCACAAATCCTTTTAACTCCAAAGCCTCATGTGTCACACTGTAAGAATCAAATAAATGTCTCTTTTCTAAAAATTTGGTTTCATTTTATCACCTTTTTAGAGAACTGATAAAACAAGCACTGTCTTCTCAGTAAGTACTCTTACCTGTACTCTTATCCCATGGTAGACACAAAGCCAGAACAGTGACAATGCACACAGAAACAGTGACTGGAATAGATCATCCAGCATCCCTGGAAACCAGCTGTTCACCAGAAAAGAAAGGGGGAAAAATGGATCTGCAACAAAATAAGGGCAAACCAAAAAGTTAAACGAGGGGAAAAAGCACAGTCTTTCCATTATGAAAAGTAAAGCAAAATGTACTTCAGAGGAACAAAACCCCCTAGATCTTTCAAATTATACCAGTAAATTAAACTGAAATTTGCTGTGTCTTGACGAAATTTACAAAGAAAATGGTGCCTCCAGCAGCAATCCTCTGTGCTGTAGAAATAACCTAAAATGGTCCCAACATGTCTACAACATCTCAAGTTTTATTAGACTTTCTACTAAATCACTTTTGGTGATGAGCTAAAACTTACCACAGAATGACTGAGAGGCAAATGTTATTTGGTACTGCTAGAGAGTGCTAGAATTTGATGTAGTTACTGGACTAAAAGTAGCCTCCATTTTTAACTATAGTGCACGTATCTGAAAAATGAAGAAGTAAGACTTAGCAAACACAGAAACTGCATTTATATGTTGCTGTATGAAAGGTTCAGAATGGTTGCAGCCACCTATTTCAGCTGGAGCTTTACACAGGTAAAGTTGACACTCACATGACTGAAAAGAATGAAATCCACCTACTCATTATGCCCTTGAATTTGATATACTTAAAGCTTAGGGTTTTGGTTGGTTGGTCAGGTTTTAATTAGTTTTCTGAAGCATTATAAAGAGCTGCTTGTAAGTTCAAAGCCAAATTTCATTTTATCTTCTCTCTCTCTCATGCACTCTTTTTAATTTATTTTTATTTTCCTTTGTTAAAAAAAAAGGAGCTTCTCTAAAAAAATCCAGGATACAAGTACCATTGTAAAGTAGCAGGAGGGGAAGCAGGATGGACATCCATTTCTGTTCAATACCCCAGTCTCTCATGGAGAATTTCCGCAGGGAATGTGCAAACAGACACTATAATATGTAAGGAAGGAATACAGCCTTAGTAGTTTAATCAGAGTAAAGAGAGAACACAGCACATTGCAAAAGCTACTTCACTTTGCCACTGACAACACTGTAAACCAGAAGCTACATCTCTTATCTTCTGCTTCAAGTCTGGTGGCTTACCCAATGCAAATTACTTAATCTTTCAAGCAAACTGAGAAGGAAGCCAGCTAGTACTGTGCAAAGCAACAGTGTGTGGAAAAAAAGTTGCCTGATTACTGGTCACACAGTACCAACAATTTCCGCTTAAACTCACTTTTTAAAAGAAACAGATTCCACACCACATCCACAGTTACCTGCTGAGGGACATCTATGTGAGGAAAATGTGATGTAAGTTTTCTTTGCTTCAGTGTCCCTACTCTGAAAATTCTGCATTTTAGACGTTATGGGTTTGTAGTTTTTTTCCCACAAACGTTTCTTTTCCAGGGCCAAGCCAGGTTGAAGGGGAGAGATAATCTGAATCATAGCATAATTCAGGTTGCAAGGGACCTCTGGAGGTTATCTGGCTTATCCTCACACTCAAGGCAGTTACAACTTTAAAGTTGGATCAAGGTTATATTCAGCTGAGTTTTGCTCATTTTCAGTGACAGAGAGCCCAAGCTCTGGGCCTGCCTGCACTGCAATAAAATATTTTTTTTAGCATCTAATCACAGTTTCCTTTGTTTAAGCAAAATTCTGTTAAATCCAGAATCAGAGTTTAGGAAAACAAGTTTTCCCATTTATCCTATTTTCTTTATGTCCTTTCAATACCGCTTGTAAAAAACATAAGAGCAGCAACTATATACATACTGAAGAAACATTTTTACACCCATTCAGTGGTATCTCAAGTCTGCTGCCTGGGGTTAAGTTACTAAACACAGCACTACAAAGCAGTGTTATCAGCTGCCTACATAATATACTCCAGAAAAACTGAAATAAAATCTTACCGTGACCATGAAAGTAAGAACTACAAAGACAAATCGGAACCATATTTCCACTTGTGAAAAAGTTGGATTGTAGGTCTTCCACTACAAGAAAACAGAATAGCCCAATGAACACTGTTTTGACAGTACATACAACATCAATAATTAGCATTCTGCAGATACTGAAAAGTTCTCTGGCCTTTCAAAATTGAAAGGTATAACCAAGTTCCACCACAGCACCATGGAAAGACAAAGATAAATTCATAACATAGGACTATCTGATGAGAAGATAACCAAACCAGCTAATATCCTTGCTTCTCTTTTACCCTGCCACTTCGTAACAAAGTGTGCTGTCACATGTTAAAGCATTTTTCAGGACAAAAAGGGTATTGTTCATTGATTTCAATTACACTTCCGTTAGAAGTCTGAATGCCAATAATTGAGTAAATCCAGTATGTTCTTTTTTATTACCAAGGTCAGATGCATAAATGGATGATGAAGAGGTTGATAAGGTACAGGCATGCTTTCTGTAATAGGTTTGTTTTCTTAAAGATTATTCTCTTGATTCAGAAATGGAAGAAAAAAATATCAAGTAATGGAAAAATAAATGACCCAACCAGAAGTAAACTTTTTTCATAGGCTAAGGAGGAAAAGCTCCTTCTCCTCTAATCATTAGAAGGGCACAAACACTAATTATAACATGTCAGCTTGCATAAACTCTGCTCTGTTGATGATTTATCTCATACCGGGCACACTTCTCTTTTGAAGCCACTTTTGAAATGTAAGCTCCCGCGTACAACATATGCTCTGCCCATCTAAACAATAAGCTCTGCCTTTCACTGTATTATACCTGTCAATCTCGGGTCTTTTTAAATCACAAATGTAGAATGAAAATTACATGTACAGAATCCATTATACAGAAGGCGAACTACGATTTCAACTGAGCTCACCATAAACCATTATGATAATGAAATAAACTGACAATTTTAGTTGCTGCAGGAAAGCAGAGCTTTGGGTTTGTTTTTCTGAGGGTTGTATACAAGTCTGCCTTAGAGGTGGCCTGCAAAGCAAGGTAATAAACCGTACACTTTGTCATGTTTGAAATCTGCAATTAAGCAAAGGGTTTGTGAGTTTGGTTTGTTTCTCCTTAGAGCTTATTTTTAATTATGTGCTTTATGTGCTGGAAATATTACAGATACTATTATTCAGGAAGTTCATTTAGTATATGAAAAACACTTTTGCTTTACAGAAAGATTTTTTGCTTGCTACCTGCTCTGACATACCAAATGTTGCATACAGGTAGATTATACCATAGTAACGTGCATTATAACTTGTGTTTAATTCCATTGTCTCCCAGTATAAATGTTTCTAAACTTCTTTCTGAAGCTAGCCAGCACACACTGATGAGGCAACTGTTTTAGAAGCAATCTTTAGCGCTACTGAGCTAGTTATTTCACTAGGGATTATTTTAGTGAATTATTTTAATAGCCTGCTTCTTTTAGCTACATAAACATTTTTCTCTTCCTCATAAGCACAGCCAAAACCAAAACCGAAACAACTCTTCATGTATCTTTGGGTTTGTTAAATATTTCTAGCCCACACTTTTGTAAAGGCTGGAAAATGTTGCTAATTCAAATGCACCTCCAGGAAAGGCTGAAAAACATACCGTGCTTTAAAGAGCCAACATCCTTATAAGCAAATGCAGAAAACTGGATGTTCTAGTCTAGCTTGCCTAGTGTTAAAAATATCCCCCAGGAATCAGACTAAATTTATCTCCTCCAGAAAACAGCATTAACAGTTCTGGAAGAAAAATCTGCCCTTATAAAAAAATTGGTCCAGACCCTTATTAACTGCAAACACTGTAACAGTTCAGCCACTGAATATTAATTGTGAAGCATCTTTATGTTTATCTTCAAAAATGAGATAACTTTTTGTTATAGAATCACAGAATCAACTAGGATGGAAAAGACCTTTAAGATTATCAAGTCTAACCATTACCCCAGGACTGCCAAGTCCTCCACTAAACCATATCACTGAGGGCCTTATAATTAAAGCAGACTTCCATGGCATTAGCAATTAAAGAGATTTCTTTTACTAATATAAAGCTTTATACTTACTGTGAAAGTAATATTCTGGATGTACGTTAACTTGTTTAGATTTTCAAAGCTAACAAATATGTTGTACTGAGTGTAGTTCAGGTAGCCAAGGTGAGCAACAATAATTTCACTGCATTTCTGTGAATGTATACATAGAACAGTATGTAAAAACCTTCAATTTATTCCAGTATATGCACTATAAGTACAGGTTGAGAATTTGTTTCTAAACAGTCAGATATTGATAATATTTATTATATGCCTTGACAATCTTCATCAGAAGACTCGAACTAGACACACAGATAACAAACTTCTTGAAAGATACCAGACAAAGCAGAATGAACTGATAAAGTCAGTCAGCAGGATCAAAGGTTGAACTGATAAATAAGGCTACCTTTTCACTTAAGCTGGTGACAGCAGCTGCTAGCAGTACTGGGAAGGATCTGAATAACTCTGTCAGTCAAGCTCTAAGCCACTGGATTGTGAAATCAGGCTATCTTGTGGTAACTCGATTCTAGAAGTTAACAGGAGGAAGGAGAAAACCCAAGCATATTTCTCTCTTGGCTGTGTGTAATTAAATCTAAAGGAACTCTATTCATCAGTTTCTGCAGCTTTCGGATATATGTGTATACATATATAAAACCAAAATATTTTATTTACCCAATATGCTTATCACAAAAAACTTCAGCTATGCCCCTCCTTAAAGGACTTGCACCTGGAGAAGCCATTTTGGATGTCTGAGCTTAAAAATTTCAGTGAAAATGAAACTAGAAATTCAAAACCTTAAACATTTCTTCCCAGGTGGCAAGAAATCTGGCTTTTTTAGAACACAGACACCAGCTGATTTAAACCAGACTCTATGCTAGATATTAGAGGAGAATTTTTCTTTCCTTTGGAGCCCTTTATCCAATTTTCTACAATATCCCTTTCTTCAGCACTGCTAAATCTGCTTAAGTGACTAAGCAGGGCTCACTGCTTAGGGAGCTACTTTAATAAGAGGCATGTTCAAGGGGTAACAGACACAAGTCATAGAAGTAAACAAAAGATGGATGGGTAGGTATCTTGGTCAGAATTACTAGCTAGGTTGCAATTATAAACAGAAATATACTTTAGAGTCTTTCCTGAGACAAGCTTAACAGGTATATTTTTCTCATTTGCAATGTAACGTAACATGCACACAAACAGATTTAAAGAAAATGTACTACATAGGTTTCGTTTAAAAAGGCATGTACTTGTGAACAACTGAGTAATCTTGTCCGATTGTGAACTTGATTATTAACATAGGGTGTGCTTCCATCCTTCACCACTCCAAGTACTTTGACTGTCATAGTAACATTCTTTTTGAGGGATACTGTAATTAAAAGAGAAAACATTAAGCTATTGCTACGTGCAGAAATGAAAGTTCAGAGTTCCAAATACAGTTTAAACCACATACTGATATCCAAAAATTACTCAAAGTTACTAAGTTATACTTTACTAGAGTAGAGGTCCAGTATATTAATAAAAACCCACAGAACTCTTTTCTTGATATGCTTAAGCAGTAAGTCACAGATGCTCTGTACTGAATCTTGACAGACTAACAATTACTAACAATTAGGGAAGCTTTATAGAAAAAAATAATATCATTACAATCTACACATCTAATTCCCTCCAAAATTAAAGAAGAGAGACACAGATTCTCTAGATACTATTGCTTTCACAAACAACTTATCCCATATACCTGTTGCTTTCAGTTCCCAAGATCAGTGCTGTCCATGTCTTTACTGAGGCAGGGGGAAGAAAATGTATCAGAGGAAAAACCCACCAACCGTACCAGAAAGCAACAGGATCACTTCTGTGACAAGTGAAATTGAAGCTCCAATATACAGGTTACTATAGCAGTTTTCTGAGAATTGGGTAAGATTCTTACCATCAGGCTGATCCAACTCAACTACACAGGTTAGCCACAGCTGCTGGTTGTAAGTAGACAGTGGTGGTGAACTTAAATTAAACGGCTTCAGCTGTAAAAAAAACCCACCTGGTTAGCATCATCCATTATTCTGTTACATCACATATCTGTACTTAAAATGAGCAAAGACATGTTCATTATGTTTGTGACATGGTGTCTGGGAATAGATATGTGTTGCTCTGTGGACAGTACAATAAGCAACTCAAAGTCTTACAGAGCAGTAGCTCAAATAGCACATGTATTTTGCACATCATGCATGTAAGGAAAGCACATAAAAGCAGCAGCAATAGCCCAAAAAAGTTCAGATATGAAAAACAAAATCCTGAGACTTAGCCTGAAAATAAAAAGTCGTTTCTAGCACTTTACATCAAAAGTCAGATTTGTGACCCCTCAGTTTTAAGCCTATTATACTATAATTGTGAAAAACAACAACTGTTTTCCACTACATTTTCTAAAAATCACATAAGAATTTCAAAAGCACAGAAGATATCACTAGCAGATCAAACCCACAAGCAGGAATGACTTCTCTTATTTGATATAAAAATACGCTTAAAAGAAAATCCACCCATAATGTAATATCAAGCCAAACACATACAGGTGGCTAATAGACAAAAAAAATAAGGTTCCAGTATATCTAAAGAAAAATTACTCAAAAATCCCTCAAAACAAAGCAACAAAACCTTCTTAGCACTTTCACCAAAATTACTTCAGATACTAGGTTGACAGTAAAGAGCTAGACAGAAATAAAAATGCAAGAAGTGAGAACCCAACTACGAGAGCTTTCAAGAAAACAAATGGGAAGGTTCGTGTTAGGAAGCTAGATCCCAGGTCTTGCTCAAGTGACAGTGGACAATTAACAAGAAAAGTTCCTTCCCAGCTGATGGGAAGGAACATCATGAGAGGAGTATCACTAGTTGCCACTGAGAGCATTATTTTTCAGTTTATGTTCTCAATTTCTCTTTCTGGACCCCCTACCAGGATCTCCAGCATGAACTCCCCAGGGAATCCTATCAACACCCATGCTACTTTATCAGAAAGTACTGTGTAGAAAATTCACAGAATTCTCTACCTTACCAGCTAACAAAGGTAAGAGACTAGAAACTGCTGCTGGGCTACTCACGAAATGACACAGTGGTAGTACAATATTACGTGTTCAATTTCAAACTGGAAAGCACCATGTGGCCAAGAAGTTTCCCAGTAAAAAATTAAATACTTACAATAATTGGGGGATGGGGGAAATGTTCAACATTGCTGACATCAAATAAAGCCACTCCTGTAATCCAATGATATTTATTAACTCTTACCTTTAGGCTGTTATTTAAATCAGTTCTTGCTACAGAAGTTTCGATTACATTAGGACCTACACAGCATATAAGAAAGAAGAAGAAAACAATACTAAAGTATTCATATTATTGATGTAAATACATGATTTCAAAAACATCTCCATGCAAAGCAGGTAAATAGTATCCCACTTTTCAGCTATTTAAGCTGAAGGATAAATAAATCACCTAAGACATTTCAGTATCGTTAATAAAATTGGCCTGAATGTTCCTTTAAGCCTCTCTGCCATAGGATTTCTAGTCATGATTAAATAGGAAGTAAATTATAAATCAAGAACTCCATGTCAGAAGCGCTGCACGTGTACTCTAAACTTTAAACTACTACAACAATCCACACAGTATTTTTGCCAAGCTAAGCTGTATACTGCAGTCATGAAAGTATTCAGTTACAGAAAAAGCTAGCTAAGTTAGCTAAGCTGGCTAACACTGTTGTTACAGCACCTTGAAGCTCAACAAGGGCTGCAAAACCCACCTGAGAAACCAGCATATTTAACTGCACTATAAAGTTTCTACAGCTAAACTACTGCTGTTACCTGATCTACACAGACCATTGTATCCATAATGCATTGCACTCAAGGTCTGGGTACCAGGGCAAACACTTCTCATGGCATTTGAGTGCATGATGCTAATACCTTTCTATGTATGAGTACCACACTTACCTGGTCCAATCACAGTAACAGTATTTCCTGCCTAGTGTTTGGTTTTCATTGCATTAGTCTGTACAAGCCAATATACCCATGCGTTTGGTTGGGAACAGTTCTCAGTCTACTCAGACTGGGCCCCACCTTTCCTATAGAAATCTGAGGCTGTAATATAGAATGTATATAGTTGCATAAATAAACAGAATTGCAGAAAAGTTCTATAAACAATTTCTGCTAAAACAATCTGTTTAATCAATGGAGTTTCATGTCCAATTATAGTAGGAGATGTTCAGCTTGCTACCAGACCTTTTATGCAACCATTCCTTCAAACATTTTGCATACAGACAACACACTTAACACGTACTCAACAACAGCATCCATCCACTCACACCCTACCTCTAGTTCTGTATGCAATAAATGGAAAGCAATAAAATTATAATTTGTGTTAGAAGGGACCTCCAGAGGCTATCTAGTCCACCATCTTGCTTAATTAGACCATATTGCTCAGGGTGCTATCAAATCTTGAACATCTGCAAGGGCAGAGACTCCCACAGCCTCTCTGGGTAACCTGTTCCAGTACAGAATCATAGAATAGTTAGGGTTGGAAAGGACCTTAAGATCATCTAGTTCCAACCCCCCTGCCATGGGCAGGGACACCTCACACTAAACCATGTCACCCAAGGCTCTGTCCAACCTGGCCTTGAATACCGCCAGGGATGGAACATTCACAACTTCCCTGGGCAACCCATTCAACTGCCTCACCACTCTCACAGTAAAGAAGTATTTAACCACTCTTATGGTAGAAAAAAATTCCTAATATCTAGCTGGAATTTCTTGTGTTCCAGCTTGTCTGTTCCCTCTCACCCTATTATCATGCACCACTGAGAAGAGTCTAGCCATATCTTCTGAATACCCTTTGATAAGGTTGTTGCCCACAGCAGTATGGTTTCCCCTTAGCCGCCCTAGGTATGCAAGAACACATGGTACTGGGGAGAAGAGGAATGCATGTGTGTATGTACATACACAAGAGTATTCATGCATGCCTGTGTATATATATGAAAGGTCTAAACCAGAAAAATTAAATGGAAGAGTAGGAAAAGGTCTGCATCTATATACTGGGGTGTGAACAGACAGGGAAGAGATGTATAGCACATAGAGAGACACAGGCAGGATGTATGCATGTGCATTTGGGTCACGCTAGAGGCTTCCCAGCCACAGTACAATTTCTCTGCCTAAATGGTCTCTCCCCTTACATATTTGGTCTGACAATTTAATGTAATTTATTAATTCTCAAAACAGGCTGTTTCAGCCACAAACTTAGTATTAAAAAAGAATATCAAGAAAAGCAATTTTTCGCAAAAATTGTGAACTTCAAAGTTTCTACAGAGAAACCATCGAAAAGAAGGAAGTTTACAAATGAGCAACATGAGATCATTCTGTGCAAGAAGTATTTTAGGTTAGCTGTCATGACAGCTCTAAACGTGCAGCATTGGCTGGGCTTCTACAACCACGCAACTACAATATTAACAACCTTACAAACTATAAATGGAAAACTGAAGAACTTCACCCATCACACTCAAAGCCTTGTATTAGAATTACAGTTCAACTTCACCAACAGCCACCCACTACGAAGTCAGCTCCACATCACTGAACTTTCCAGTTCTTGAGTACACATAAAGAGGGCAAATTTTTGCATGGTATTTTTGTTTTGAAAAGTACAACTGAAATCCAGTAAGTGCTCATAGTTGACGTCTCATCACATTTCAGTAATTAAGTCTTAACAAACCCAACAGAATGAGCCCTTTTTAGAAGCTGGGGGTTTTAACCAGAAGACATGAGTCAGTACTGGGGCAAAGAGATCACAGTGCCAGTTTTTAAGAGCAGCAACCATAACAAAATAAATTATGAGGTTCTACTGCTGTAATTGCTACTCCTCTAGCAAGCAACACATCAAAACAATGCTGTGGTCATATTATTAAAATATGGTGACTTAATGACACTGTTATTGTTTTTCTTTTAGTCTTGCTCAGTTAACAGAATGACATCTGAAAGCAAAGAACCACACTGAGGTGGTGAACAGAAGAACTACACAGGTACAGAAAATGAGCTATGCACCTTGGATTTTCCTTGCACTTGTCTTACCCCAAAACTGACACAGACCCATTGGGAAAAGGGAAAGAAAAGTGTAACTTGGAGAAAAAAAAAGAGGACAAAAAGGAAAACAACAAACCAACAAGTCTGCATCTGCCTTGTCTTACAAGAACTGGAAAAACAACAGCTACTTTAAACTGTCTTGTTTTCTCAGATGAAAAGCAGGACTTCCGCTAGGCTTATGAAACTGCAGATAGAGATGTTGAGTATGGACAATTGCATATTCAAGTGGCACAGTAAATATGGATGCATATCCCACTTTTTCACTTATTTAAGAGGGTTTGGTGAGTTTTGCTCAGACTGCACACTTCAATGAGGGAGGACTCTACTATTCACAGGCAGCAAGGACCTGTCAATGAAAGCCTCAAAAAACATCACTGTAAGTATTCAGTGAGTCTTCTCCCAAGGTAAACAGCATTACTTTAAAAATAATTAAGCTATAATAATGAACTGTGTTCATGCTCTGTCAACAAAACTACCCAGCAAACCAGTCTTACAAGGACAAGAATCCCACATCCACTCCTGAAAGGGACTGTAGGTGAATCCTGGGACCCTAGAAGCAGGATACATATGAGCTGCTTATAGCAGTCAAGTCCCCTGGACCAAAGGGTAACAACATCATCAGATCAAGCTGCCTGCAGACAAAATGCAACACACTAACATAGCTCTCTTTCAGGTTCTCCTACTGATTAAGAATTAAATGTTTAGTTTTCTCTCCCAGGAGCACTGCTTTTTGCCTAGTCTTACATAAAACAACTTGCTTGCATTTCTTGCAACTGAGCAGTATAAATACACAAGTATAACTATGGTTCACTTTTTAAGCCAAACAGCAAAATGACACTAAACCAAGTTATTCCAGGGATTTTTTTTTCCTTTATCATTCATATAAAACGCGTCTTTGCGAATGTGTTTATACTGTATTTTAGTGGCCAAATAACGCACTTCAGCAAGCATCCTTAGGAAAATCACAGGAATATTACTGTTTAACCTTTATGAACTGTAAGTCTGTTTGGAACTTAGTTTGCTACAATAAACCAAACACAGACAAATTTAATTACTTAATGCTATTATGAAGAATGTACTACCTACAAGGCACAGATGGGCCCAAACAGCTGCCTCCAATTAATCTCCCTTTCCAAGGCAGGCAGGAGCAGATGAGTGCCAGGCCTGGGCAGCCTGCCTCATTCAGGAGGAAATGAAGAACAGGGCAGTGGCAGAGACAACCTTACAGACAGGTCAAGAGGTATCAGACAGTGGCACAGGAGAACATGCTGGGTGACATGAAAACAGCAGTAAAGCGGGGGGAGGTGGTAACATCCTTATAATTCTTACATGGGGGGGCAGGTTGCTTATTGAGTACAAATCCCTCCCCCTCTCCCTAACTTCTGTGCTGACAAAGCTACCCTTACAACAGAGTATTAGCTTACTAACATGGCAGGGACAGCATGCTGACTTCTTTTGCAAGTACGTTTTAGACCTGGAGAAGCTCTCTGGCAATGAAATACAGAGGGCTCCCACGCTTTCCATCTCTCTAATGACACTCTGCATCTCTATCAACCAGACTTGCACTGATCTCTGATCTCCCAGGACAAGTATCCAGGCACTAAGTGCTTAGCCTCACAGACTGCCTCATGACTCCCACAAAGGTCCCTGAAACCAGAGACTGAAGCTCTGGTTTCACAGCAGAAATACGTATTTTTGCATTACTAAAGTATTTTGTATTTCTGTGGTATTTATCACCCAAACATTTAGGTGGCTTTACAAACAGTTATCAATTTCCTCATGGTAAACCAGCTATTAGCACCACCATTTTGCAGATTGAAATACACAGAAGAAAATTAACGTAGCAATCTGTTGAAAAAATACATTACGATAAGGCTGGTTTTGTTTTACTTTACTGACTCTTCCCTGCAAGGCAGCTGCAAACACCAAATCTGTGTAGGTAGTACTCCTATGAGAAAATGAGACGGAAGAAACACTTCCTCCTCCCTGGGAAGAATAATGCTCCCTCAGACATCCCAGGCACAGTAAGCTCATTAGCATTTAAATACATCTGTAAATACTAACAGGTTTAGACAAAGCATACAAGAACTGTAATCTCTTAAAAATACAACATCCTTACCTGCTATTCCTATGAAGACTGTCAGACCAAAACAAACAAAGAATACTACAAAGACCAGCACAAAGTGTCGTTTGGACAGTGTATATAATCGCATAGGTGCCAGCCTACAGGAATCAAAAGAAAGCAATGAATTAGTTGCCAGTCATACTTTTAAAAGGAGGAAGAGAACAGGCCCCATTCATTCCTCACACAGAAAATTAAATCAAACTCTGAGGTAACACTGAGGGGAAAAAAAAAAAAAAGTAACGCTGTTTCATAGAGCAAGGGTAACCACTAGGAATTATTAGACATACGTATATACATGCATGGGCGTCATGCCCCAAAACGTATGAATTTTCCCCACTCTTTTGATGCCAGGATTTTCTACTGAGCTTGAAAAAGCTACTGGACCTGAGCTTGAAAAAGCATTTCTAGAGCAAGAAAAAGTGGTTTTAGTTCATACAGTAATAAGTTAAACATCCAAGATACCATGTCTCCTGCAATGACAGCTTAACCTAAAGGGACTGACGTCACTAACAACTCAGTTACCTGCACAGGGTCTTGATGAGTTTTCTGCACTCTGTATATATAACTACACTTCCTCCCTGAAGGGTCACCCCTAACATGCAGTAAAGCAGAACCCCAAATCTGCTAGATGCTCAGATCCTGCATTCCTGCCTGAAGGCTACCAAAGCTTGGAAAATAGAAACCTGAACTGAAGTTCATTATTAGACACTTAAATACAGATACAATGTATTTATATACAGTGCTTAAACACAAAAGCAATGACATCTCTTCCACAGCTGTTTGGTGGTTATCCTTAAGTTAAAGGCAAAATAGAGAGGAAAAAAAGCACAGAAAGGACCAACTGCATTCTCTTTGAAACAGGTAACTTCCAGTTAAACTGCTAGCTTAAAGGAAAGTTGATCAAAGACTTAATCCTACATAACGCATCCCTTCTCTATCTCCCTTTTTGTTAAATGCATAGTTCAAAAAACGACAAACCCCCATGTTTTAAAATACAGCCAACATTTCCTTTTGAGTTATGCCATAACTGAGCCACTGTATAGCTGATTTGTGCTGCTGTTCCTGTAGGCATGATCACAGAAAGCTGTACAGTTTATATGGGAAAGCTATAGGGTTGGAGGTGGGGCTATTTTCTGATAAAGTTGTATGAGCACCATCATGGAAAGAAATGAAAGTGTAAGACTTTAATGACAGTGCTCCCTTTCAGCTTGGAATAAAACTTATTTTCACTAGCTGAATAGTGCTCTTCCTGATTAACCACATTATGAAGAAATGCAGAAAAGGTGGTGGAATCCTTTCCATAAGCCCAACCTGAATTCTGGGATCGGGTACCACACGCCTGCATGTCTGGCAGCCCTTAAAAGCAAGGCAAACAATTCACTTTAAACCAGTAAAAGATTTATTAATACCTTTTGTTTTCTAAGAATCACTGCACTCTCTCCAAAGGAGGCACTACAAAAATAATTACATTATTCCTTTACTATAAAGATTGAAAGACAGAAAGCTTAATTTAGCTCCCAAAGGAGACTAGGAAGGGAGGAAACCTCAACAGAAGTAATGAGAACTACAAGCAAGTAACTGTAAATGTTACAAGTTTGAACAAACTGGCTGTACAGGATTCCAGCCATAGCACCTGCAGAGTGTAACTTGCTTTGCCACATGCTGTTAGGCAGAGCAAAAACACAGCAGCCTATGAAGTCCTAACAGCTGATTACATAGGCAAAAAAAGGTAAATTGTACATTAAATTATAACAGTCATAAACAGGGACAGATCAGATCTCTGTCACAGAGATCATCACACAGAATTCTCACCGACACTAAATACACTATTTAAAGTTGACTTTGAAAAATGCCAATTAAAAGAGGCATTTCAAACCAGAACTTGTCTGTACAACTTTACCAGGGTAACTACAGTACTTTCCTTAAATCAACATCTTAAAATCTCAGCCTTCATGCATTTAAACTTCTTTAAAGCTATTACATCTGTACTAGTATTAAAGTAACTAACTAAATAACTAACTAAGGTACATTTTCCTGTTTGTTCCAAGGGCTCCTTCAGTTCCCCAGATGATCTGGTATTCCCTGTCTGCCTATTGATACTACGCATCAAGATGTATCTTGAGAGACCAAAACACTAATCTTAACAAGAAAATCCTTCATATATAAAAATGGTACATAAAATTCTGATATGCCTAAATTAACTGTAAGGGTCCAAGTGCATACCAAAGGCTTCGTGAGAGAGCACTGAGAATCACTTTCAATATACAGAACCAGGTCTGGATGCGGAAGTCTGGATGGGAAAGAGTTGAGAACTGCTGCCGACTGGAAGAGTATCAGATACATGCAGGGAAGTATCACATATGCTTGTGCTGTTTGTAACAGCTTATATCAGGGCATCAACAGCTACAGCCCCATACAGGACACTTCTGACTTGCTACACATATTCCTAGTTCTTTTGATAAGATTCCTAATTCCAAATTTTTACAGACATTTCAAAATGCGCAATGTGAACATGAAAAGCAGCTTCACCTCCGCAGTCCTTACAGAAAAGTCACCAGAGTTTGCCACCCAGCCAACACTCACAGTGTTACAGCCTTTAGTAATTATCACCTTCCGTTACTCATATGCTAGAGCACAGGTGTGCTTGCAAGCTTTCGAAGAAACACGTTCCAGACATTGCCTCATTCTTTATTCCAACTCCTCTCCAGGCAGTGCAACACCTAGAAGTCAAAATGGGTAGGTGCACACCCACCTAAGAACAGTCATACTGGCACTTAACAAAGACAGGAGACCAGAAAACACTGTGTTTTCCCTTTTCTGAAGAGAAACTCCTGGAGTCTCATTTAAGCCACTGACGGTTTGTGCTACTTTACAGGTCAGTAAAACAACATATTTGCTTTCTGTAAAAGCAAACATAAGAACTCAGCCAAATCTTAACTGCATTTATCATGACAGCAAACAACAGGATTCCCGTGGGGTGACTGCTCCTTGCTACAGTAATAGCATTTCCTTGTGTGGTTTAAGTGCCTCTTATCAACCTATCACCAGCTGACAAAGCAAGCAGATTAAATTATCTTCCTATACATTCATTGTTTAACATCTGCTTTTTGGAAAGAGACTATATAAAGTTTATTAATCTACTAAGTGCAAGTTGATGATCCCCACTAACAGCTTTCTGACACTTGAGAGGCCTAACAAGGAATATAATGTTTGAAAGGCATTTACAGGAAAAATGAAGAAGGTTACTCACTCTGGAAGCACCTGTTCAAATGAGTGAAGAACTGTGCTTTGCTTCATCAACAGAAGATGCCTTATTTGGCCTGGCCAAGGCAGTCCAAAGCTCAGGACTGGCCATCCAAGCACCTGCCGATTTTTCAGGCAGCTTCCTCCACCTGCACTGAGTTTTATCCTAACTCCGACAGGAACTAAATATTCTATAATTAAATTGGATATGTCTGAAACTAATTGCAAAGGAGCAGAAAGCACATTATGCTTACACATCTCAAATAGTAGTCAGTAAAGGCTCAACTGCATTAACGTAACCTGTGCTAGAACGAACTATGGAAATGCACCATCATAACATCTGCAGTCTTCCAGTAGCTGTTCACATATGAAATGGAGAGGTAAGTTAACTCGTGCTCTATGAGTAAAGCTTTGGCTCAAATAGGTAAGCAAAATATTTCTTAGGCTATTCCTCATCTTCAAATCACCTGTCATGGTTGCACAACACAGTCTTAGCCAGAGTAAAGACCATCAAGAAAAATAATCTCTTATATGACAGTTTTCACTTAAGACTCCCACTTTACAGATGGGAAAGCTGTGACAAAATTGGGATTAAACAGTAGGTAGCACAGGGTTCATACTAAAATCAGAAATAACTTACTTTTATGCACAGCAGCTTCTCTGTCATACTGCCTCCAAATGCTCTATTTTAGGCTCCCTCCCAAATAAAACCATCAAAACCACTCTGATTTAAATTATTACATATGCTACCTACAACCATAGTACTGGGTCTGTCTGTACACACCACACCTTACTGTTTAAAGACACTGCTTGCCTTGTTGTCCCTCAGGAGACCTTGAATTTCGTGCAGATGTAGTCCACAGCGGTTAACAACTAATGAGGCAGCACATGACTACACAAAAAGATGCATACAATTAACATACTACATAGCACTTTTATAGGACAACTGACAGCTAACCGTGACTATGCTAAACAGCTTGTGTGCACGGGGTGGGTTTGGCTTTTCTTTTTTACGTGTGCTGTTTGTTGTACTCATTGAAGTCTGAATGATTAGTCACGACTGTGGCTCTGTCCAAGCGAAGACATACCCAGGAAAACAAGTTTTGCTTTTCCTTAATAGATCTAATATGAGAGTGGAGATAAGAGGAGGGGTTATTCACCGCAGAAGAGAAAGAAAACGCAGCGTTATCTTACTGAAGCGGAGAGTCACTCTCGGGTTTTCTGACTGCCGAATCATAGCCTCAGACACACTGATTTAACCCTCGGTGATCTTATTTCCCCAATAGGAATTAACGTGTGTAAGACGAAGGACGGGATTCACCCCTTTACAGAGCAGCAGCTCAAATCACTGCTCCCGGACAGCGGAAGGCATTTCTTCTTCCCGCCGCGGACCCGGACCCAAGCCAGGCAGCACATCCCGCCCCGGCAGCCTCGGCTCGGTGTGCACGCCCCCGCTCAGGCGTGGGCACGAGCCCCTCCGCCCGTTCAACGGCCGCTCCTGCCGCCAGCGAGCCCCCACACGCGACCACCCCGCTCCTCCTCCCCGCCCGCCACTCACGGCTCCATCGCGGCGCCGCATGCGCGGAGGGGGCGGCACCGCCGCCCTCGCCCGTGAGCTGCCGCCGCCGCCGCCGCCGCCGCTGTGGCACGATCGCGAGCGGTGCCGTGCGGCGGCTTCCGTGTGCGTCACTCGGCTACCAGGCGACCCGGGACACGTCACAGGAGCCCCCGCCACTCCTTCGCCGCGAGGCCGAAGGGCAGCACTGTTGGCGGCGGTTCTACGGCGAGTCAGAGGGGACACGGAGGAGCCCCGGTGGCCAGGGCCTGGCCTGCGGCCTGAGCGGCAAACCGCAGC